ACCCACATATCAATGTCTAAACAACATGGCTTTTTCCAGAGGTCAGCGGTAGATATTTCTGAGAAGTGGGTCTAGTTAAATTTTAAACGAATGCTGTTTTCGGATTTTATTGTTATCAATCTAGTGTTTTGGTATTATCAATCCTATAAATAACGACATCAAGCACTCGGTTTCGCTTTTTACCGCAAACAATATAGGAACAGCCTTCAACTCAGGCGTACAGCGCTAAATAACACATAATCATTTTTCTCCGCAATTCCTAGAAACATAAAACTGCACGCGGCAAAGGAAGAACAGACGCTTTTCAAAGCGATGCAATCTAGATTCTGCATAGGTGAGAACACAGCAGGCATCATATAGTCACCGAGACAAATAACTTGACGAACATGACAGTTATTGACGTGCAACTTGATACCTCGTTTTTTTTAATGTCATGTCCGAAGTGCTCTACCAACAAAGTAACTTCATGGTTGCGTTAAACAATTGTGACCTGGGAAGCATGCAGTGACTCGTAATTCTCTCTGGCACCTGCAGTAACTGTGCATTAGGATAAAGTGCCCGAAATATGGTATCATAACAATGCATTTCCTCTCTGGGTTACGGAGAAAAAGATCTCTGTGTGGCATGTAAATCCGTGTAGCTTTTAGCGTGTAATGTGCAAGTGGGTTTCAGCTATACCGGCCAGAAACGTTTCACAAATGCCGTTGAGTCAAAACTTCCGCGCATGTAGGTTCGTTGGCCGTTCCCGAGAGGTTTGGTCAACCCACCACAAGTAATGGTCCATGAAACAAACAGTACAATATTTTAGAGAAAAAAAATGTTATACGAGCTGTTTACAGTGCACAGCAGACAAAAAAAAGAGACGGAGACAACGATAAGAGAAAGAGAGGAATAATTGCAGTGAAACTCGTGCAGTGATGCTTTGACATTTTGAAATACCAGATATACGCGCCTTCCTACTGTCTTTATATAATAATGGTAATAATATAGGAATGATAATTTACTTTACTATAATAAAACCATGTAGTTATTTTATTATTCAGAAGAAGAAAAATACGCGATGAATTATGCCACTATATAGAGTCGCAGCCGTTTCTTTTGAAGCGTATGCACGGGCATGATTGTTTAGGCCCGACTAACTTGAAGTTGCGTACATGAATTCCCATATTGGCGGAAATTCCTTCAATTGCCAGTACGTGGTGACTGCAGTGACCAGGCGCGACTGGACTGTGTTGCACACAATTTAATTGATATTTACTTCGTTGCGCGCGTGCTAGCCCATATCTGAATGACATACATGAGCTGGGGGTCGAGGCAAGACAAACAGGGCAACTAATCGTTTCGATAGTGTGAAACAAGGATATCCTAGTTTTCTCTCAGTGAGAGATCATAGATGTAGACAGCCTTGCACTACGTATCAGAAGCTAGGTCAAGATAACGCACGACTTTTTATATGTACTGCCTGCATTCAAACTGTGTAACATACGACGGTCATTGTCCTATTTGATGACAACTTCACAAGCCCATCAGTTGTGATGTACGACGGTCATTGTAATATCGACGACCACTTTTCAGGCCCATCAATCAAAAAAATGTCAGCCATACGCAAATAAAAACAAAAAATGGGGCATCGTTGATAGCCTGAAGGGAGTTGCGTAGATAGCGGACTGTACATTTTAGCACGTTTTGGTTGGATAAGCCTACGTAGAGGGTGGTTACGATTGATGCTGTCAGCCAGTTCTGGAGTTCTATCTAATCAGCGTGCACTTTGATATGGACAGTCAACAGCGTTCAGTTCCTTTTAGGGTGCCCCCAATTTCAACTGATCGTTTGGCTCTGAATCACGGTTACTGCGAAGTGCACAGTCCTTTAGTGTGCGTCTCCTTTTTTCTCAGCAAATGGGCATGTACCAACAATGTTGGACTGCAATACTAAGAAGTCAATTAGACATCGCGTCGGCTTCACAGGCATGCATGTAAAATATTGTTCACACATCTCCTTTCCACAACCGCTTCCTCTCTTCACACGCTGGCCATCTACTAAGGTGCGTTATAGCGAAAAGGTGGCGCGATGAGGACCAAACATATTGCCGTGTACGTGTCGTCGACGTCGACAGAAGCCATATACAACGCTGGGGCAAACACAATCTCGAGCAGTTGCAGCGAGATGCTGCTCAGAAATGGCTTTCCTAATTCAGTTCGCGTACGCAATAGGCAGCAGTAAGGAAATCCGGCCCGGGCAGGCCGCGTTACAGCATTTCGCAATATACTATCTCCATTCTGGCCAGATATGCGTTATCGCAGTTTCTCAAGCTCTGAAGGAATGGCACCGTTGCCGCACGGCGCAGAAATGACTAGCACTCTGACGTGCACCAACCACAGTATCAGCAGGCTCGAAACCATTGCAGTTCATACGCTCCAGGGCGCCTTTCGAGAGGGCGGAAGGGGACGATATTACAATGACTGGTGCACCTGTTGTTAACCACTCAACAATAAAACAAATTAAGTACCCCTGTGACACGTTTTTATGGATGTTGCGACTAAAATGAGGCTGCAGTCGTTTCTACTTCACACCCAATATGTCTCTTTCATTTGTCTTTTTTTAGTAGTCATCACCTTATGCCATCAATCAAGTCAAGATATAAGTGAAATCCAGGAGTGAAATAAGTGAAATCCAGCATGAAATCCAGGAGCGGCCGCAACGGGGAACCAGACATGTACGTGAGGTCCAACGACTTTTTGGGTGTCGTACAAGGCTGATCGGTTGCTGCTGGCCCACAGAGAGTGACGCTTGCGATATACGTTATTCAAATTCCTATACAGGAAGCACTGCCTTACCATAAACAGCAGTTATGCTACATCGTTATTTCTATTTGAACATAAAAAAAACGCGCCGTTTTTTTTTTTTCATTCAACTCGTACTCAGAGGTATTTCAATGTAAATAAATGCGTGCAAAAAGAAAATAGATGTCTGAGGAACTAGCGGTTCGGTGGCACGATCACAAACCAAAGTGAACAAGCGATGGTAACAATACCGCGCGCAGCGAGGCTTGGTGAATGAGAATAAATGTGAAAAGCTTTTCTACTTTCCTTGAGCAGTCTTTCAGCATCGGCACAGGGTTGGTAAGCTTTATTTACATTGGGGTAAGTTTTATTAATATCATCAATGAATATAGTAGCCAAGTGTCTTTATAATGCCTTACTTGAAGAGAATTTCAGTATCGGCAAAGTTTTAGCAAGCTGTAATATTTAACGTTAGGTGTTTTTAAGACTATGGTCAAGGAAGATAAATGCCAAATAATCAAGTAATACCTTATTTGAACAGCAATTCACCATTGCCAAAGAGCTGGAAAGTGTGGTTTTAAATGTTTGATGTTTTTCAGGTTATGGCGAATTAAAATAAGAAAACTCCGCATAATAGCTGACTTCAACACCATGTCGGCATTGGCAATCCCTTGGCAAGCTGAGAATGTTAGGCTTTTTTAAATATATTTGCAGACTATACACATTATGTGATTTCGGTATCATTTAATAATGGTCGCGCAACATGCTTTCTGTGTCATGTCGACAAACTAAACTTCATTATTGTCACTCTTTTGAGCACTTTTAAACAGCCATGACAAGCCTTGAGAGCCAGTCCTCCACAAATGAAAAAAACAAGGAGCAGGGGGGGGGGGGGGCTCTAACTATAGCGATACCGTACAGTTATGATGATCACCCATATTCCTCAATAGTATGCGTGGCCGTGGCGAGCTGATCACCTTGGAGGTAGCATACAATAGGACAGTCGTGATTAATAGACAGGCACCTCTTTGTGGGAGCAAATGACACGAAAGCATTGTGTACATGTATTATCCTATAATAATGCACTGCAGCCGTGCACCACGTCTCTCGTATACCCTGCGTCGTACAGGCCGTTGGAAATCATCCTTTCATGGCCCGCTCGCCAATGTGATCACGCTTGAGACATGAAGCACCGGTTACTAACATCTGCCCCTCGTTCTCACCTCTAAAAGGAGCGCCAAGGTTTTCTAGCTTGATTTCAGTATCTTGGTTTATCTGGCTTTTATGGAAGCCACAGACCTGGCATCCCGTCCAAGCGTTCGTTCAGCTCGGAAACCCGTACGAACTGTTCTGTGCCCTATGTTGTATATATTAGAATGCCTAACGGGAGCCACGCCTCGCATCTATATAGCCTATTGCACGTATTGTTGAATTTGTTCGTTATTTTTTGGGTTTTACCGTGCACACACCCCGATATGATTATGAGGAATGCCGTAGTGAAGGGCTCAGCAAATTTTGACTACCTGGTGTTCGTTAAGATGGGACATGGAATCGTTAACATGGTTCCAAAATATTACGCCACCGTTGAATTCCTGCTGTGTCTTCTCTTCCCTAAACTCATGCATGTTGCAATGTCGATAATTTTGTTAGTCTGAATGCTTTCTCGTTATGTCTAAGTATAATGCATGAACGAATAAATGAATGAATGAACGAACCAACGAAAAAACGAATGCAGGAATGATTGAATGGATGAATGAATGAATGAATGCCTCATGCACGATACCGTTAACGGTCATAGTGCAACAGCGCCTTTGCAATGAGCGAAATCACTGAAACTGTTTCCGTTTCTTACAGAATAGCAATACTACAATTCTGCAGTCAACAGTGAACTTTGCACAACCATTCGTTAACAAGCAGATTACAGTTGTTAACCATACCACGGCCACACCCCGACGAGATTTCACACGACTTGTTCGAGATCTTGTCCCGTTGTATTGTTCCGCACAACTCAGTTCGGGGAGAACGACGCCATCACCGAGCGGCGTTCGCGAACCGCATCAGTAATGTGAAACATCTCTCGGAGCGACTGCCGCTTTCTGCTCTGCGGAACGTTTTCTTCTTTCCCGCTTCGACACACGCAGCCAACGGCGCGTCTTCCTGTTATGTGCACGACCAAGACATCAAGAATGCGGTATAGTCACGACGTCATTTCCCCAGCTCGTTCACCTCCCGTCTCTGCTGCCACCACACCAGCCGGCACAGCACAGTGTGCCCCTACGCATCGGTGGCGCAGCGAGCGCAGCCCTGGCGACGACGATCTGATGCTGCCGCTGCCGTCTCCCCCCATCGAGGGCACGGTGGTCACAGCTCGTCGGGAAGCCGCCGCCGCCACGCTCCTTCCTCCTCTTCCTCTGCCGCATGCCCCTGCTCCTCTTCCTCACCCGACGGCGTTGTAGTAGAAGCGGCGGCTCCCCGCTGCTATTCATCGCCGGCGGCCGCTGAAACCGGCTGCGGTGTATCCCTACACTCTGCTGTCGTCTGCTCCTGCTCGCTGTCACCCGCGCCGCCGGCTCCTAGGCCGCTTCGCACGCCGGCTCCCTGTTATTCGCTGCCGCCGACAGTACTCTGTCACCGCACACGAGTCAAGGAGCTGCAGTGCCTGTCCCCGTGCCTCTGCTCGCCGGTCGTTACAGTAGCGGCAAGCATGGCCGCCGCCGCCTCCGCATCGGCATCATCCGTGGCACGATCCGTGCTTGCGCTGCTCAAAACCGTGGCGCGCGACGTGCTCGCCGTTCTGGCCGTGGTCGCTTTCTTCCTGACGCCGGTAGCTGCGCTGCCATACACACGTGCCTACGTGCCCAACACTTACACGCTCATCAACTCCAACTGCTCGGCATGGGCGCTCCGCATACTCACATGGCTCCTGCTGCTCCCCGGCACCGTGTCCGTGGTGTTCGTGCTCATCGTGCTCCCGCCGCTGTGCATACCGCGCCGCTGGAAGTACAGGGCCGTCATCGAAAACTACAAGGTCGGCCCCCAGACCACGTTCCGCTGGGAGTCGCCCTTCTTCGACCGAAAGTACCGGCTCTGATGAGCCTGTGGGGCTCGCGCCGCCTCCGCTGCTGCCGCGTTCTCCGGCCCGGTGAAAATGACACCGACGCGGGAGCAAACGGCACGGACGGTCGCTCGCTGCCTTCTCGTCGGTGGAAGACGCGAACGGAGGTTGGTGAACCCTGTAATGGCTCGACATTCTTATTATGCATGACGTCGCGTTTCATAGCACTTGCCAGGACAAAAGTGCGCGTAGCATATTCGTTGGGAGTTGTCGATCTGATGCGCATGCTTATTGCGTGGAACTCTTTTAATGCAGCCTTCCCTGAAACATTGTTCTTGCGCTTCATCGGCACGCCATCTAAATAATTTGCAGAGCTTGTCAGCGACTTCAGAACGACCCCAATGGAGGCGTATCACGTGACTTCCGAAGCAATCATTTGGCATCTAATTTTTCAATGCCGAACTTTTCTCATGCGCACGGTGTTTACATTCCGACTTCAGATATGTTGTGCACACAAGTGTCATTTCTCCACCAAGTGAATGTTTCAATGAACTCTTCATACAAAATGCTTGACTTCATTGTTTGTACCAGCGATGCAACGTATTCATAATGTTCAGATAATAATCAGTTCCTGCAATCTCGCTTTATTTACTGCCGGCTTCCCTTTTCTTCTCCTGATGATGTTCTGCTCAGTGGTTAATGGAGTACTTGTGCACATTTCAGAAGTTTTTCAATTGTTGCTGTAAATGTGGCGTCGAGAATCCTAGAAAGCGTAGCGGGAGGCCTCTAAACGACTTTAATACCGTAATTTCGGAAAACCACGTTCGGTTTTGCTATACGCTTTGTGATTACATAAGAATTATTCAACTCAGTCTGACGCAGGTTTGGGTCAATCAATCAATCAATAATGTTTTTTATTAGCATTAAAAATGTACATTGTGAGTAAGTATGCAGGAGGAGGTCCCAAGGTAGCAAACCGCAGGCGAGATCTCCTGTCATACTGGCCACGTGGTGACAGCCATTCATGACTTACCACCGGAAGCTTCTCGGCTGCTGTCAGTTGCACGTGGTGCACGTGAAAGAGGGCGATCTCGGTTATTTTCGCCGCACAAAAGCAGCAGAATTTGCAAGTCCTGCCAAGTGTGTCGACTCTTCATGATGATGTGCATTGTGGAGGGGCGGGCTTGTGCGATCGGATTGAAGAAAGTTCTAAGATAAATTAAGACGTCTAATACGTGTTTTCTGGTACAGGCGTGTGGTGAGCGATGCGAATGCATGTCGAAAAAAATGACCTTTCGCGATGCATGAAAATCGTGTCAACACTTTACCAAAACTATCGCCTACGAAGCAGAAGCTACTGGTTGGAAACTTGGCGCTAAAGGCATATTTCATTTTCTCCGAAATTTTCATCTACAGTCATTCATCTTACGTGATAGATAGACAAACAGGAATGGGTCGGCTCTTTGAAATCTTTGCGAATTTCAACAATGATTTGATTGATTGATTGATTGATTTGTGGGGTTTAACGTCCCAAAACCACTATTTGATTATGAGAGACGCCGTAGTGGAGGGCTCCGGAAAATTCGACCACCTGGGGTTCTTTAACGTGCTCCCAAATCTGAGTACACGGACCTACAACATTTCCGCCTCCATCGGAAATGCAGCCGCCACAGCCGGGATTTGATCCCGCGACCTGCGGGTCAGCAGCCGAGTACCTTAGCCTGCGAATTTCAACAAGCCGATCACCACGTTCAATAAGGGCAATGGCTCATGTACAGTTTTTGACGGGCACGCTTCATTCGAATTCACCATCACTCTTCAAATGATATATGTCGAGGCTTACTAAGTTTCTTGGTTGCAGTTTGGGGGCCAGATTCATGAAACCAACTCGTCACTACGTGATTTTTTTCGTCGCCCAGCAGTCCCCACTAATGATACCTGCATTGTCACAATAGTCTGTAATACGTTCTCACTGTAAATTCTCGCGTGCGATGTTTTTTTTTCTTATCTACAAGTCACCTTCTGTCATATAGATGGTCGCAGAAATAGCACTTCCCTACTAGTACAAATAGCCATTGTACTGTCATCGTAAGTGCAGGCAATAACAAATGACATACTAGTGCGAAGAAAGTAGATTCTACGTATATCCGCTGAATATCTACAGCTGGACCCTGTATTGATTGTTTGAACCGATTCGTTAAAAAGGATTCCAGACGGTATGTTAGCAAGTTGGAGACGTGAGGCGATCGGAGTAATTGCTTCCTTTTCTCTGTGCTGTTAGTCTAGCTATCAAACACGGGCGAAAAAAAAAAAAAACACCTTGCTTTACAACATTTGGTAAAGGTCAGGATGGAACGTAAGAGCTCCCATCTTAGCTTTTCAGCGGATTGTTTAAGGTATAAGATTTCTTCGCGTTTTCAAGCTTTTCACTTGATGCCACTCATCGATAGAGTCTCCCGTTCTGGATATTTGCAACAAAATATTTCTGTCGATTGATTAAAATTTGCAGAAGCTCGACTCAAATGTACAACTGCTAGCGCCGTTGAGACACTATGAAAATTGTTTTATTTATTTATTCACACACAGAATCACTCTCAATATGGCTTCTTTGAAGATGACAAAATAAAGTTGGCAAATGCAAGTAAATAATACTTAACCACAGGTCGAACCACTTGAGCCTGTTAGGCACTGAATCCAAGAAAAAGAAATAACTTTTGAGTCTTTTTTGCGTGTTCCGAGTATAGTCACAAATTAAACTCTCTTTCACTAGGCAGGTGAACTCTCTTTGAAAATCGTTATACATTCGTCGGGGAGCCATGGCACCCAAAAAGCAATCAGCGTGTGTCTCTTAAGAGGGCCTTATACTTGTCAAGTTAGGACTCAGCGAAAGCAGCAACGCATCATACAGTGTACAAGAAACAACAAATTTAGTTGTGCGGATTAGCTTTTTTGAATGTCCGGGTCAAAATACTTCTACATAACGCGCTGATATTTTCACACAACTTTTCATCTGCATGTAATTCTTTGCTGCTGTTAGAAGTAACAGCGATAAGTTTTCTTCAAGGTGGTCACGGCCTATTTTCTCTTTTTCGTGTGTCGTGTCTGCGGTGCTTGCAACTTGGCCACCAGGAACTGCTACGCATGCAGAAGTCTTCGCTTTCAAAAACAATGGTTTTTTCTATTTTTGACAGCGAAAAGAACAATAGTTGCTACGTGGTCATGGCTGTGTAGAAACAATCGCGCTATTCTTCTCGTAAATGCTCGTCCTTTTCTGGAATTACCTGTTTTAGGCGTAACGAACTTCAAATAGCTTTTTTTTTTCTTTCGCTTTTACCAAGGTCTTTGGGATGTAATAAAAGGGTTGAGATTACGGTAACCGTGATACTTAGTGTTGACTTTGTGTGTTGTATTTAAACAGTCATGGCAAACATCATCATGCAGATATGCCGCGTATCGGGTCATCGGCCTTTCAAGAGGGAGCTCTCAAGTGGAGAACCGTCATTTTTGCTTGAGAGACATGGCGCCAGATTGCAAACGACAAGACGAAAATGAGAAAACAAAAAGAATGACGGAACAAAAAAACGAGGAAAAGGAAAGAGTGCCATATTTCTGTTGCACTCTAGCAAATCTACTGAAGAGCGAGAAGCGCTATGAAAGGCTTAATGGACGAACGTGATTCATCGCGCTGTGCATGAGGTAAAATATGTTTCTGACATACGCACCATTTGGGAGGTTTCTGACGTATGCACGCCCATGGTCGAAAATGAAGTGTGCTTAGGCGCCGTGTTTGGAAGCGTTTATAACTCGCGCAGTGATGGCCCCGACTGAAGTGATTGTACAGACAGTGGAATACTACCATGTTTTGTACAGACCACACACGAATACATTGACGCTCTTGCACCGTTCTCAAGGGCAGCTAAAGGGCGTTAAAGACGAACCCTTTTGGCCAACTCTTCCACGTGGGAGCCCTACGGAAAAATAAAAAGGAACGCTTGGGAAGTTGGTTTTGAAGGTTTAACTGGAACGAGTGGCCATCACTCGGGTCACATGGAATTGTGTTTTGGTGCTTCAGCGTTGCCAATTAGAGCGACGTATTCCAACGTTCCACACGCATCTTTCCCCGTGCGTCTATTCTCAAGCACGTTTACGGCCTGGACCTATTTCGCAGTGTTTCCTCGTCTGCGTGTATTGTGCGTGTCGCCGGTCTTCGACCGTATAACCCATTATGCAACTCCACAGGCCAGGACTGGGCTTTTCCTTGATTCAGGGATAAGCGATGATATCACATGCATTCCGTAGAAGTGCGTATGCTTGTTGCGCGAGAATGGTGACCCTGTTCTGTATATATCGCACTTATTTTTTTTTTTTTGCTCTCTACGCAACAGATAGAGCCTCCGCATCAGAATGGGGTCTCCATATTCGAATATACCCCCATAATGCAGTTGAAACTACACCTAAAATGCGTGCATTAGCACAATCTGCTCCTTATGTCAGACTTCAGTCATCCCTACAACACAGAGCACCAGGAAGCGGTCAAATTCCTTAGCAATGGAGCATTTCGTGATGGAAAAAATGTGTTAATACGTTGGAAGTAGTTGGTGCATTGTTCATCATCAAGGTCTGTTGCCGTCCCTTCAAACGCAAAGAATACGCTGAAAGGTGATTGAATTTCTAGTTTAATAGTGGCTACGCGATCAGCAGGTTTAGTGTCTTGTCGCAAAATGGCCTTTAGGCGTTTTCTATTAACTGCTTGAGCTAAAAACCCGAGGAAAAAAAGAAAATGCATATTACAACATCGTCTGCACGGACCGTGAGCCATTTCGCTTATTGTTTCTCTGTTTCATGTGCCTCTAGACCTGACCTTAAGAAACTAAGCTGCATGTTATGACATAAATTTCTAACCCCCGAATGCAGAGATGTTACTTGACTCGTACTTGACTCGTTCTTGAATCAAGACAGTCTTGCCGGTCGCCATAAATCGTTCTCAAACTTGCGGATGACTTGAAGGCGACTTGGCTCGGTCGAAGTCAGGACAAGTTTCAAGTCAGCTGCGGGGCTAGCTTGAAAGCGACTTCACGCGTTATTCAAACATGGCCACCTCTCGAATGGACGTCTCGTGAAAGGTGGCCGCTTTTGAGTTTGCTTGCCTTGCCATAAGCGTAGCATT